ACCACCGCTCCATCACAAGTACAATTCATGCCAACAGCCCGTAATATAACTGCCTATTTAGCAAGAATTCACATGTTAAACATATTTAGCTAGCTTGATAGAGATGGATCACTCAAATCAGAAAGACTGTGAAGGCTATGATGACAGCAATGGACATGAGCGGGATTTTTTTTTTTATTATTATTATTTTTATTTTTTTGTCGTCCGGACCTTTGCTTGGAAGAAAATATAGAGGCCACGCCTCTTGGAACTTCAATTGAATACCCCTGATTTATATCATAAAGAAATACTTTATTTGTATGGTTTTGTAATATCTGTGTCAAATATTTCCTTATGTGTCATGGTAGATCGGACTCTTATTATAGAATTTGATTACAGAAAAACTGTCTTGAACATGGTAATGGATTAAAACATATAAGTAACAGGCTGGATGTAACTTAACCTTACATCTTAACACCTCTTCTTTTTTTTTTACAAAGCAGATCATAGATCACATATTTTGTCTATAGCCTATAAAACAGCTTCGTAAATAGGAAGATTTCAATACATGAGGATTCTGAATGGATTTTTTTAACGAGCCATTAAATTACTTGAGACTCGACTCGGACTCGTGACCAAAGACTCAAGACTTGACTCAGACTCCAGGTTAAAGACTTCAGACTTGACTCGGACTCCAGGTTAAAGACTTCCGACTTGACTCGGACTCCAAATTAAAGACTTGTGAACATCTCTGCTTGACAGTGTAATTTACTAGGCAGTCAATGGGACAGTCACAAGCCTCCCGGTTTTCACCCAAAATATCTTAAATTGTCTTCCGAAAACGAACGAAGCTTTTACGGGTTTGGAACGACACGGGGGTAAGTGATTGACAAAATTTTCATTTTGGGGTGGAGTATCCCTTTAAGTACACGCACTCTCTCTGGGTGAGAGTAGCGTGTATCTGAGCGTGCACGTCCAGTTTTGTGCGAGAGCAAAGGAAATCCTTTGCAAGCGGTTAACACTAAACATTAGACAGAGGAGAGGCTCTGGTGCGGGGGAGGAGCTGAGTAAATTTAGTCTCATGCCACACAACTACACATTCGACTAGGAGCAGGTACAATTCAGATATCTTAAAATATAATTGTGACTAATCGAAACTGAATTAGAGATATCTCTAATTACGTTTGCGTATATGTAACACATCTCTTGACGATATCTATGACGTAATTACAGAGATCTTAAATGGAGTTTTGACTAGTCATAAAGTATTTAGAGATATCTCTAATCAGATTTCTTACTAGTGCAATCATAATTGCAGATATCTCTAATTATCATTCTGACTAGTCAAATTATAATTATGACTAGCCGAATTACAATTGTAACTATTTGAAATATATCTTATGGATAGTCAAACCAAAGTTTTAAATGCTAAACCGGATTGCCATACTAGTACAGCAAGGAGTTTTTAATGCTAATGCGGCTTGCCATACGCGTCCGGTTTTGTGCTAGAGCAAAGGAAATCCGCGTGCGGGCGTTAAAATAACGCCATACACGCTCCGAAGCCTCGGCACAGAACGTAACATACCATTTTGAGGTGAGCTGTTCGCATAGCTTAATATATTTACACAATCATGACAAAAAGGTTTTATAAGCGACATTTATAGCGGTCATTTGTCTTGTTTTCATAGGATTCTGTGCTATTTGTGCGTCTTTTGACGTTTTAGGAACTGAGCGGTGTTTTTTGGCTTGTTTCAGTGTTTAAAAGTTATTCTTACATGGTATTCAAGTCACTGTATAAATGTGAAAGTAGTTACAAAGCTTAAAGGTTTGGATGCATTTTTTATGTTTTTCTTCTGAGCTCGTGAGAAATAATAGTAGGGGAGCGCGGGGTTAGTTGTAACACACGTGGTTTGAATATTTCCACACATGCTAGCATAACCAAATTTACAGTATTTATTAGTTACCATATCAACATTATATAGAAAAAAAGTGCACCAAAATTCAAAAATCTTTTGAAGATATCGCTGAACATTTATTTTACCATAGTAAAATTAAAATTCTGGCTTAAGTAAATTTTTCATCTCAGTTTTTATTATTCATTTGAAATAATACAAATCTGTTATTTATCAGTTCAGATCATTTTTTAAGTCTTTGATAACTAGCAGAAGACAATAACCAGTTTTAAACTCTCTTTTTTACTTTGCGCAGATGGGGCACGATGTAACAGCGTTACAATGTGCTATTCTATGACATTAGCGATGTAATTTACACTATTTACTTTAATGAATTTGAACGAGAAACAGGTGAATAAAGACTGACAGTCAATGTTTAATGTTTAGAAATGATCCAAAATTCAAAAATCTTTTGAAGATATCGCTGAACATTTATTTTACCATAGTAAAATTAAAATTCTGGCTTAAGTAAATTTTTCATCTCAGTTTTTATTATTCATTTGAAATTAGACAAATCTGCTATTATTTTAATCTCAAATCTGTTATTTATCAGTTCAGATCATTTTTTAAGTCTTTGATAACTAGCAGAAGACAATAACCAGTTTTAAACTCTCTTTTTTACTTTGCGCAGATGGGGCACGATGTAACTGCGTTACAATGTGCTATTCTATGACTTTAGCGATGTAATTTACACTATTTACTTTAATGAATTTGAACGAGAAACAGGTGAATAAAGACTGACAGTCAATGTTTAATGTTTAGAAATGATTATTTCAAGACATGTAAAGCATTTTTGCTCGTTTATGCGGGCCGACCAAAGCATGGGTGCAATGTGTTCATTGTCAAACTCCAAAATCTGATTATTTTTCATTCTTAAAAAACGCCATTATTTTATTAGAATTTTTATTTTTTATTTTATTAACAAAATATTTTAGATTGTCTTTTTGTTCATTCGATCAGATTATTGGACTGTCCTGCTTTTAATGCAGGTAGAAAATATTTTTATGAAGTAAGCTTACTTAAGGAATTTATATTTCTGATGTTATATCACGGTTTACTTTTATGTCTTTCCCTTCACGTTTCTCTTATTTTTATACTTTACTAATAATTAACTCTAACAAACGAATCAGTCAGACACACAATTATTTGTTATATTTAACAAATACTCTTTGAAACCCCTTTCCCAACAAACTATGTGTAAAGTTGTACGTAACTCCCAGGCAGGAAAGATTTACAACCACCAAAATAATGCAGAGCTTTGCTCTAAATTCACTTTTAATCAGGCCAAAAAAAGACACATAAAGATCATGACAAAAAGGGCTTCTCTTCATTTCATTTATAGACAAACCTGTCTGTGAGTGAACATGCATCTCTCCAGGACATTGTATGAATGTATATTTGGGGGAGCTGACTATCTTCAGAAAAGTTTAGATGGTATTTTCTTTTCATCTTGCCTCTGTAGGCTAATGCATGCTAAAGTAGTATTTCTACTACTGCTTTGTTTACAGTGGTAACCAAGGAAACACTGTATGGCTGCTGTTCCACAAGTGCCACCTGCTGTCAGAGAGTGAATTTGCATTCTCTTTCAGCCTGTCTGCTGTTTTTCCATCTTTTAAGTAGCATAATTTCACAAAGATAAAGACCATTCTGTTTTTGCATCAGACTTTGAAATTTCATCAAATTTAAATCAGAAATTGCTCACGTACGTAGAATCTTTCTTTGGATCATGATTAAAATGCAGTGGCTGCCTCTAATTTTAAATGGCTACAGAGAGTTTGGCCTGTAATAGAGCAAAAAAAAAGTTAATGTACTCATATTTTCATTCTATCTAATCTCTTTAAATAAATATTCACTGCATAATCCTTGCTTACGTTTCATTTTAGACCTGATGGAAGAGAGTGAGGAGAGTGAAGAACTGAGTGAGGCAGAGGAGAAACATCGTCATGTCAAAACTAGTAAGAAATCTTTGAGTCGCTCACAGACTAAAAGTAATTTATTGCAAAGAAGGGCCGAAAAGCCTTTCACCTGCCATCAATGTGGGAAGAGTTACACAGTAAAAGGAAGCCTGACATTACACATGAGAAGCCACACTGGAAAGAATCTGCACACATGTGATCAATGCGGGAAGAGTTTTCCGATAAAAGCATACCTTAAGTACCACATGAGAATCCACACTGGAGAGAAGCCGTATTCATGTGATCAGTGCGGGAAGAGTTTTACGATGAAAGGAAGCCTCAAGGATCATATGAGAATCCACACTGGAGAGAAGCCGTACTCATGTGATCAGTGCGGGAAGAGTTTCCCATACATACACAGTCTTAATATTCACATGAGAGGTCATAGTGGAGAGAAGTCGTACACATGTGATCAATGTGGGAAGAGTTTCATATATAAAGGATCTCTTAGTGAACACATGACAATCCACACTGGAGTGAAACCACACACATGTGATCAATGTGGGATGAGTTTCAGACAAAAAGGATCTCTTAGTGAACACATGACAATCCATACTGGAAGCGGTTAGTTATAATAGTAAAGCGGAGTGGATTGTTATGCTCCATTACCTTCCCCTCTCTGACTTATTATATAATTTTAATCCATGTTTAATCACCATTTGTTAATAAGTATTATCTTTTATGCAGTGATTAAAATAAATGTAGAATAGAGTGTTAGCATAGTTTAAGTTGTTTTTTTGATTGTCTTGTTCCTACGAGAAAGTATGTACAGTATGTATCACTCTTAGTTCATTTACTTTCTTTCATGAAGTAAAGCAAAGCATATTTTTGTACATGTAAATGTTAGTTTTCTTTGTTCATATCAGCACGATTCAGCAGAAAAAGAACAGTTGGAATAAAGACATAGCAGTTCAAATCCTTTCCTCTGTTAATTTGGTTAAATATGATATTTTTATAGATGTTTTGTTGTTGTGAACAATATTTCATATTTGTGTTAAAAATTACTGTTGATTTAGCCTCCCAGGATGTTCAAAAGCATTTGCAAGGATGCTGATTTCTAGATGACTCTGAGATGGCGAACATGGTTTGTGTAACATTAGCAACACACTATTAGCTGTTTGCTAAAGTAGTCACATTGTAGAGAGCGATAGATAAATGCATTATCATTCTGATACATTAACTTGTAGACAAGATCATGCCTCCACGCCAGATAATTAAGACCCAACCCCGGACACTAGATCCTGTCAGAAAATATCTGTTTTGTCTGGTAACAGAACAACTAGACAGCAAAATTGCCTAATACCCAAAACCCATTAACAGCAAGTCTTGTCTGGTACCTAAAATATCCAAAACTAGCATTTAACAGTCTTCTATCAGCCGAGAAGTTGACTGAGAAATCCAGTGAAGAGCAGAAGCAGGAGACGAAGTGATGATGGTAAAAAGGAGCAGATCTTAGTTGCGTATGTTTCAGTGCTCAGACTTCGTACAAGTATTGTTATAACAAACTGATTCAAAACAACATAAACCTGGACTTTCCATAAATATTCCCTCATATCTCTTATTCATGAAGACAAACAGCCCTTGAAACACACAGTCTTAAGACTAAACGACAATGGAAAAATAATGTAAGAAACAATAATAGGTGACCCTGCACCACAAAACCAGTCATAAATCGCACGGGAATATTTGTATTGCCAACAATACATTGCAGGGGCAAAATTATCATTTTTTCTTTTATGCAAAAAATCATTAGGATATTAAGTAAAGATCATGTTCCATGAAGATATTTTGTAAATGTCCTACTGTAAATATATCAAAACTTAATTTGATTATATAATATGCTAAGAACTTTAAAGGCGATTTTCTCAATATTTCGATTTTTTTGCACCCTCAGATTCCAGATTTTCAAATAGTTGTATCTCGGCCAAATATTGGCCTATAGTTTAATAAAAGCATTTAATTTTACATTGAACATAACCAGTCGAACACTATTCGTTTCCTCCCTGTTACTGGACACTTTTTCATTTAAAATTGCCCGTAACTGATAACAAATACACCTACAAATAGAGAATTTAAAAAAAAAAAGCATTGTCTTGTGCTTTGTTTTTTTGTTTGCTCAAAAAGACAATTTACCACTATATTTACAAAATAATATTCTCCAAAGTACGTTCACAGAACAACTTCCGGTCTCTGTTTTAAACATGCATGAACCATGGTGCTCCCCATACTGGATTGCAGGTCAATATTTTCTTAAAGTGGTAAATTATGTTTTTTTGTGCAAAGCTCTTGCTTCACAAAATTTAGGTTAACCCCCTGGAGTCACATGGATTACTTTAATGATGTCTTTCCTACCTTTATTGACCTTGAATGTGTAAATTGCATTGCTCCTAATGTAGGGTCAGAAATTCTCGGATTTCATTACAAATATCTTAATTTGTGTTCTGAAGATGAATGAAGAAGGTCTTGCAGGTTTGGAACAACATAATTTTCATTTTTGGGTGAACTATTCCTTGAAGTATAATTTACCATTTCACTCTTTTTAATACTTTATTCAGTGTTTCAACTTTAAGTTTAATTATAACATTTTCAGACTCCACAGAAAACCACAATGAGGAAGAAGATGTTTAACAAAGACTAAGAAAATAATACAATTGACATTTCTCCAGTTCTCAATTTACAGCACAAAAAATGAGTCAATACTTAATTGAAATGTTTTAAACTTCACCCAAAAGTGAAAATTATCCCATCATTTACTTACCATCAATCCATTTGAGGTGTATGTGATTTTCTTCTTTCATGTGAATATAGTCGGAGTTATATTAACAAATATGCTGGCTCTTCCAAGATTTATAATTGTAGTAAAAATCATCTGTGTGACATCATTGGTTTGTTGACAATGTTTTATTTTGCTTAATTGGAAATAAATCTGTCTCAAAGATTTTTTGGTTGCACTTATTAATTGTGGTTACAATAAGATTTCTCTTGCTGCAGAGGTAGAGATGGATAGACAAACCCAAACCAAACGCATTCAAAAACAAACCCAAAATTCTGAAAGGTGTTGTAAAGCCTAGTCAACTAAAGAGTTAAATTAAGCCCTGTTCGGACGGTAATTGTTTCTCAGGGGGACGTAAGTGATTTACAGGGGGTAGTTGGTGATTTTAATACCGTCCGAATCCAGGACGTCAGTGTTTTTCCTCACACCACCCCCGTAAAAATCCCCGGCCGACTTACCTACTGTTTTTTGACAAACACCAAGGTCGTGTGGTAATTTAATTGCCGTCCGAATCCACTCTGAGTTGGACAGCAACATTGTCCTTTTCTTCATTGCACAGACATTCAATAATTGTGACATAAGCTAATAACAATGTACCCTCTTTAGCATTTTGTTTTAATAATCAATCATACCAATTAGTAATTAGACATTTAGGCATTTTATAAACATCTGGAAATCACTTCTTACTCTTTTTTAACCAGATACATAGATATAAACTAGCACAAACAATTCTAAACATGTAAATGCTCTCTTTTAGGAATTATTTTATCGGGAAGTGCATAGATGTCTCAAACTCTCTTTGTTAATGAGTTTTTCACAGTTACATTTCTCAATATATTCATATTTTTCCAGCAAATCAAACAAATAGAATTAAATAAACAAAATTAAACATTAATTACAAGCATGCATACTAAATATGTAATGCTAATCGCAGAAAAAAAGGGCCTCTTGCCATTAAGAATGCAATCGATATCATAATGACATCTGCACAGCCTAAAACATCATTTACCATAAACTCATACTACTTAAACAAAGAATTAAAATTAATACCTGAAAAGGAGGAGATAATTAATCAGTCACACTCCACGATGCCTCTCCTCTGCGAACTTTATGCATAATGGAGAAACCCCTCGACCAGAGTGGTTGACAAGGCAAAAGCAATCGATTGCAGAACTTCTTGGACTAAACTAATTGATCACCGATTAACACAAAACCACTTAAATAACATATTTACACTTGATGAACCTTTTTAATGGATTCAAATATAATTATACAGACATATATATTTCACTCTGTCACACACTCCCTTACAAAAATAAATGTCGTCTCGACATTATCTTTCTTTAACACAAATTTTGTAGTGCCAGAGTTCAGCAATTTAACAGTCCCTGGATTGTCCTGAACTTAATACTTCACTTTCAAAGCAACAGTTTATGAAAAAGAACAGTCCATTAGTGCCTCAAAGTGCAAACATTTAAAGAGACATTAAACAAAAGTCCATATTTAAATAATATAAAATATAAAAAAAGTATAAAAGCCCAACACCCTCTTAAGACTACAGCCCATAAGGCAAACAGTCCATAGTATTCTCAAAATTTCAAAGTTCAAAGACTGTTAAAGAAGATATTCCTCAGAAAAAAAACAGTCCATGTTCTGTTTTTCAGCATTTAAAAGTTTAATACATTTCCAAAGCAATATTCCTAAAACAAAACAGTCCATCAGTTCTCTTGATGTCAGACTGTAATAATGCAAAGAAACTCAAGATGTCACTCAAGTTCCCAGTCTCAATGCAAATTGAAAAGTTCATGGCCCCTGATTAGTGTACTCCATACACAAAAGGTAAATGATAACAGTATTGCTGAACAGGCGGCAACCAGGTCGACAGTCCATGAGCAGACACATAAGGTAAGTTCTGTTACGGTGTCTGCAAAATTCCATTTAATTGTCCGACATGATAAGTAGGTATACCCAAAGTATCATAGGTAAGTACTCTTGGTGGGCGTCTTTCTCTCCTAGGCAGCTGGTAAGTTTGCTCCTCTTGACCCTCTTGGTCACTTTCAGCAGATGGTGTGGAAGCAGGAAGGTGTTCATCAGCAGGTAAGTTGATCTCTTGTTCTTGGTCACTCTCCATGGATGACAGTGAAGCAGGAACTTGTTCCAGGACCTCATTTGGATGCTCATCAGACTCTGTGGTAGGTAGTGGTTCAAGATTTTCAGATTCAATAACATGGTTTGGTTGCAGTACTGGTGGTGATACATAAAGAAAGTCTAATTCATCTTCACTCTTCTCATCAGATTCAACATGGCTGATTTGAGGCTTTTTCAACTCTCGTTTCTGTCTGCTTTTAGGCATTAATAAGTTGCGATGGAGGACTCTGGATCGTCCCTTTCCCTTTTCTGGCTTTACTTCATAAATTGGAAGCTCACCACTCATCTGTCGCACAACTAAATGGGTGCTGTCTTCCCAGAAATTGCAAATTTTACCAGGGCCTCCCCGCAGTGTTAGGTTCTTTACAAGAACACGATCACCTGGCTGCAATGTGGTGCTCCTCACCTTTTTGTCAAAGTGCTTTTTGCTCCTGTCAGCAGATTTTTTAGCACACTCTCTTGCGATTTTATAGGCCTCTTCCATTCCATGTTTTCATTTCTCCACATACTCTTTCTGATAAGAGGTACAGTGCCCCCATGTCAACAAGCTTGGCCCCCGCTCTGGCCCCCCTAAATTTAGAATAGTATCACACCAAATAATATTGGGTGCAATGCGCAGTTTGTCCTGTGGGTGGTGGAATGGAAAAA